ATATTTTTAATTTATAATTGTAATAGTCATAGACTCTTATTTTAAGTTATTAGAATTTTTTTAAAAGTTTGTTTAAAAATGAGGAAAAGTTTATGAAACCTCACCGTAGCTAAGACCTCAAGTCTCTCTTTATCAATGTCTCTGGAGGCTTGAGTTGCCAACAGTTGAAGTAGTGCTTGTGAGGGGGATGTGGTCACATCTAGAATGTAAGTGAAAGCTGAGCGCATGCTACAGACTGGCATCTTCTCAAACTGTGTCCACGTTTTGTTGGTCCCTTCAATAAAACATTCAATAAGAAATCTTAAACATTAAACATTTATTACTATAAAGTTTTACCTTTTTATTTTAATTTGGATCATAAGCTAATTGTAAGACCACTTTGAACAGAATTGGTCTACCTTCAGTCAAGAATATTTTCCTTTCTTACATAAACATTGATTTTAAAAAGATTTGTTGTTATGGAGTTAGGGCAAGCAGCAGATTTAATTAAATTAAAAATGCAAAGTGAAACAATACATTTTAGCAGGCAAAAGCTACAAAAAGTTGAAAGAAAATGCCCTTACCAAGTGGTGTTGACACCTCACTTAAAAACTCTGTACGAATCACTTGATCTAGAGGAGGTGCATTGTGTAACCTAACAAGAATGGCATCAACAATATCTGGAGAGTTGGCAGGGAAAATGCCCACATGATCTCCTGGGAGATACATGAGCTCAGAGGCACCTTGTGTGTTCAGCTTGACTAAAATTGTCTGACGGCTGAAATGTAATTAAAATGTTTTTTCATCTGTAATTTTGCAAAACTTCAAGGGAGCAGGACATCTGTTTTTGTAGTATAATAATTTATTCACATAGAGCAAAGGTGGTAACCTTTTTTTTTTCTCCATAGGGCTGCCTTATAACTACTGTGCTACTATTTGCATCAGTTATATTGAAATGCTTAGGAAACCACTGGGCTAGTTGGCCCTGCCAGGTTTATCATAAAATAATGGGTTCCCTTTTTATATAATATGTCATCAAAGAAAGGGTTTGGAAATTTATCCCCAATTCAGTTTAAAAATAAGCAGTAGAATAATTTTTTAAAATTTGCAGTGATTTTAAGAGTTAGTCCAATACTAGCATAGAGTATCTATTGGCCATGAGCCGTAGGTAGCACAATGCTGACCGAATGTCCATTAGCAGGTAGAAATTTTCCTTATTTCTTTTAGTTGTTAAAATTAAAAACTAAATCTTACTCAGAATCAGGAGCTTGAAGCTGAATTCTTTCTGACATAATGCAAGGATAGAGTTTCTTTGCATGGATTTGAGATAATGCTGAAATACCAAGGGAACTTTTATAAGGGCTTAAAATTGAATCAAAGTAGTCTTAAATTTTACAATTAATTAAAATTAAGCATTGTTTGGATTGTGCTTATTTTATTTGGAATATTAATGAGCCTAAATGATTTAAGTTTGTTTCTAAAAATTAAAAACAAAATCAGAAATTTAACAAAGTAACTCAAAATATGAAAACCATCTCCTCAAAATTTCTTAGTGAAAATTTATTTTTCTTTCAAAACTTCTTTATATGGAATGTACCATTGCTGATTTCAGGTTCTTTGCCATTTTCTACAGGTATTAACCTGCATCTGTTTTCTGACCAGGTGCGGTTGCTGCTGTTAAAGACTTCTTTGGCAGCATTAGCATACATTATGTCATCAAGACAGAACGTTTCGCAAGCAGCCTATGGAAAAAAAATGTTATTTCCACAATTTCTTTATTTTTAAAAATTTGTAAACTGGAAGTTGAGTAAAACTGAATTAGGTTAGGGGGGTGGTACACCGAGAAAAATGGAAAAATCGTTCTTGAGATATGAATTTTTTGTTAGAAGGGGTTGTATCAGAATTTACCCCCCCCCCTCCTAATCCTTATACTTTTCTCTGAGTTAATTATATTAAAACAACAATGACCTCCCCAATAAATGGTTAAATTAATGGTCAGTCCTTTAAATATGGCGGCTTCCATAGAAATAAACAAAAAATGTTTGTGAATATTAAAATTGTCTTAATATTTTTTATAATTTGTATATACAATGCCTAGTGATAACAAATATTCAAAGAAACTTTCATGAAAATAGATATACTAAACCTAATATTGGACCCAATGACAATATTTTAAATGGAAATAAATTAATTAAAACAATCTCATTCCATTGAATCGTTGAAGATGACTTACGCTTGACTAAAATTAAAATACCCAAGAACAGTGGTCTTGAAACACCAAATGCCACGCCCACCCAGAACAGGTCAGAAATTAAATTGAAAGACATATATGGAGTAATGATTCTCATTTAGATTAAAGTGAAGATTAAGACATCTGAAAATCATTTAGTTAATTTTTAATGTTTAAAATAATAGTAAATCAGTAGAAATTAATTTAATTAGCTCAATTTTTGTAGACCTTTACCATCCAATTATTTATAGTAAATGTACAGATATTTATACCCAAAATGCAAACAAATCAATGAATAGTATTATATTAAAGTTGTCCTCTAAGAACAAATACCATTGTTTAAGAGCTATCCACATTGGTGTTGAATTAGCAACCCTTCTTTTCAATGATCGATACAAAGTATTGGAGGCTCCTCTAAGATTTTCCAGCTTTCCTTTGGTCAGTTTACTTTAAATTATTTCATTAGGATTGGTGCTAAGCGGATATTGAAGTCACAAAAACAAATGAAAAAGACCTTAGAAGCTAGAAGAGCCAGAAGAAGTCTTAATTTGGGTTAGAAGAGTCAAAAGTTGAAGCTAAATGACATCCTTATCTTTCAGGAGGTCATTCAAATTAGAGAATTTATTTACTTAATGAACACAATTATTGAGCATTCATTCACAAATTTTTATTCACATAAAAAAAGGATAACTTTTTAAATATCAACCAATTTGTTTAAAAATTTGCAAGATGCTATATACTTGTCTATTTCAGGAACTAAGGATATTGATATATATTAATAAGTACAAATTTTACAATCAATCAGTTTGAGTTTGAAATGCCAAAATTAAGATACTTTGGGATGCTGTGATACAAAAAGTATTCAATAAATTACATTTTCCTAGTTGTTGCCCAAGCTAATCCATAATTATTTCTATATGATTAAAAAAGGTATAATAAATTTGAGCTTAAAACATTCTAACTAATTTTTTTGTCTGACATTCCAATTTCCAACATCCCGTTTTTCTTTTTTTTTTTTCAATGTAAGAAAAATATTATGTTGTATTTTTTTTATTGGTTATTTTATGTGTTCTTATGGTAGAATAACTATTCCTCTAGCTGCAGTGAAAATTTGACACTTGTAAATTTAATAGTTTTTTAATGAATTTTTTAGAAGTCGACCTATGTTCTGTGTGTACCTCCCCACCTCAAAATGTCCAGTAGGCAAATTTTAATAATTTATGAGGACTTCTCAGAGCAAATTTACACTCAAAAGAATTTTCTAGGACAGAGTTGTAAGGGTTTTTCCCAGAATATTCTTTTATTTGCATTCATACAATACAAATAAGTTTTAAGACTCTACTCTGAAGAATTCAACCTAGTCTCTACATTGTGTATGTAAAATAATTAAATAATCTAATATTTTATAGGCCTATAAATGATATGATCTAATAAAAAAAAAGTTAAATTATAACCTCAAAGACTCTATGTGCCCAATGCCTAAAGCTCTGCTCCTGGCCACATAACTCATCTCCAAAAATAACAGGATATAACCTCTCAGCTCCCAGATCTGCAAATAACCGGTCCATATATGCACCAAATGCTGCAAAATGAGGAAATGCCTTGGACCCCAGGCCAAACACTGAATATCTGTAAAATATATTTTAAAAAATATATAGAGCTAACTTGGGTTTTAGGTTTCACTCAGTGTACAAGTTAATCTTAATCATCTGCTGGTCAGTGCTGTCTACACAACCGTGCTGTTATTAAAGAACATATTTTGCTCTAAAAATTATAAGATAACTTAATCCTGACTCGTTACTAAAAATTAGTTATGTTCATAAGTATAATGATGGTTAAGGCTTGTCAACGTAATGGCTATTAGTTATGTTCATAAGTATAATGATGGTTAAGGCTTGTCAACGTAATGGCTATCTATTCTCACTTGTCAATAAGGAAAAGAAACATGTATTATAATATTATGGATCATAACAAGATTTTTAGAAAATTAAAAAGTGATAACCTTTTGTATATTAAATAGTTTTTATTTATTATTTCAAATCAATCATTTTAAAAAAATAAAATCCAAGTACCTAACATTGCACAGCGGCCCTATTTCCATGATATTATATGAAGAATTTATGGGATGATCAGCTGAGGATTTTTTTGGTTGCATACTCATCCTAACAAAAGTTGAGCGTTTTTTAGGGTTTGAGTCAGTCTTTTCTCTGTAACAGATTAAACGTTATTTTTCCCTTTGAATACAAAAAATAAATCCTGTACTGAGAAAATAATACATTTAATTAATTTGTAACAATCTGGTAAATTGATGCAGATGTGGGTCCAAGCTGCAGGGGTGTGTGCACACCTTCATCCTAAACATAGCCATCAAAACTACACCAAGAGGGATTCCGTCTGAGTAGGACTATGAAATTTTGAATGTCAAGGGGAAAAAAAAAGAAAAGTAAGACAAAAGAAAGAAATATAGGTAAAATAAAATCATAAAATGCTCAAACTTTTGCCTATTAAACTTATTTTAAAAAGTTAATTAATTTAAGACTCTTCTCAATCTGAGCACCTATGAACTAGGCTGTATTGTAGGGTTGTCTGATAACATAATGGAATAAGCCAGGTCAGCCAGTTGAGTTGTTGCTTTATTATCTTTACAAGGAATATAGACAAATTTAAAATGGACAAGTAGTTAAAGCTGGCATGAATTTATGTATAATTTGAATGTTATGTTTAGTCATGTTAGATTGCTTATTATAGAATTTCTCTACAATATGAAATACATCTACCATAAATATTTAACTTACAAGATCATACTGTGCATCATTTCATATAATTCATTTGAAAAATCCTGTAGGAAAACAATATTTATAATATGGTGATTGCATAGTTTTAAGCTAATTTTATAAAAATTGATTAAGACATTCACTTTTTAAACATTCTTATTTTAACCCATATTTGTTTAATACTTGCCTAAAAAATTGGATCATTAAAATATCTAAAGAATATCAAAGAATCTTACTTTAATATTTAAACAAACTCATCATCATCAATAGCCCAAATGTCATTTAAATTTACCTCTCCATTCTCAGGAGGTTCGCCATTGCCAAACGTACTTGTGACAATAAGAACCAAGCACTCATGTTCTAAGCTGCTTACATCATATTCATCCATACAAATAACCTACAGACAATGAAGTTACATTTATTAAATTATCTATTGCAGTGTTTCTCAACAAATTTGTTCCCAGGTCTCTATTTAATAAAACTGTGAAGACCCACTTGTGCAGGTTACACATGGTCCCAGAAAAGTGCAGTAACCCACATGTTAGGAAACACCGATCTTGTTAGTCCTCAGTAAAAATGGCAAATCGAAACATTAAAAAAACCACAAAAAAACGTACCACTTAAAAAAAAAATTGACTAATTAGTTAAAGCAGCAAGTTAACAAACTGCTAGTATCATCCTCTTGCCCAAATATACCTTCTTGTACTAGAATAAAAACAAACACTAGCGAGCTTAATCGAGAGCAGTTTTTTTAAAACTGAGTCAACTGGTGGGTCCAAGTGTTAAAAAAAGAGAGTTAATTTCTCATTTTCTATAAGCAATAGGCCTACAGACAGCCCTACAACTTACCTGTCAGCCTTAAACAATAATCCTACAGAAAGTCCTACAACCTACCTTTTGACCTTTAAACAATAGTCCTAGAGACAGCCCTACACTACACCCATGGCTCTTTATTGATTAATATAATTGTTGCTTCCAAAAAAATTCAACCTTCTTACCTTAGTTCAACCATCATGCATGACACTGCTGCTTGACAGCTTTTTTTTTTTTTTTTTTTTTTTTTTTTTTTTTTTTTTTTTTACTCAGTACTATTATTATAAAACATGTTGAGCAGAGGGAAGGTTGGTTGCAAAAATGAAGCAGCCAAACCAGAGGTAAAATATAATATGAAACATTTTCTCAGAGCAAACAAATCTGGTGGGATGTTTACTCTTTACATAAATGTAGCTTAAAATCTATTTCAAAAAAATTCATTAACTGTCTTAAGTTAATATTTTTAAACAAATTATTGTTTTCGTTGATCTTAGTTTGTTTTATAAATTATTGAAAAATCTACTGACAAAAGCCTTTAAACTGAAAATATAATAAAGGTGTTACATGACTGATTCTGGTACATGAGTCTATGCTTTTATTTACTGAAGCAATGATAGTGTCTAATGGCTTGCACAGGTGAGTCCCGAGGTTAAAAAAAAATATTACATAATTTTGATAAAAAAAACATTGTTCTGCTGAAATTACCAGTCCCTCTTTAACTAACCCCAGCACCATACTCCCCCCCTTTAATATACTAATGATTTCATCACCCTCTGGACCATACACACAACCTTAACATCACTCAGAGGCAGTGATACCTCTTGGAGGCAGAAACACCCCTTGGAGGCAGTAACCCTCCTCGGAGACAGTAACACACCTCAACCCACAAAGCAATAGTTTATATACCGCATGGACTGATCCATTTGTAAATTTTAATTGAATGAGAAATAAAATTTTAAAGTAATGAGGAAAAAAAAAACAGGACCAAAACACATCACCTTTGCATCTTAAATAGGCTGCCTTTTGTGTACCAGTGTTTCTTTTATCTATGAAAGAAGACATCTTCCACAACCTATTCTAAACATCAAAACTTAGTATAAGGGAGCAAGGGCAAAAGAATTCTTGTTATTGAGATTTTCCTTAAATAAAATGCTAGTCATAATACTTTTAATATTTAATATATATATATATATATTTGAATAAAATATTTTATTGTACCTTGGCATCAAAGGCATGCTTGAATATGTCACAGAGAGTTTTTGCAAATCTCTCAGACTTGCCTGTCTCTGTAGCATATAATATGGTGCATTTGATTCGTCTGTGTAAGGCTCTAAGCATCAAAATTGTTGAAAATAAGACAGCTCTGAAACACAGCAAATGTTGAGATATACCATAAGTAATAATCATTCACTTGAAGTCGTGTAATTGGCTTTTAAAGTAACACAAGGATAACATGAGATTGTGTCTCAGATATGAAAGAAGGTAACAATATAAAACTAATGTAGCTAAATATAAACAGGAGCAAAGTTTTCAGTTCATTTTACCTGGATAAAAATTTGAAAGTGGGTTTCTCCTTTTTTTTGTTAAAAAGAAGTTTTAAAGAATCTCTTTTCCAGGTGTGCGTCAACCATGCATCTTCCTTTAAATATAAAGATATACAAATATAGAGTATGTCACCAATGCTGAACACTAGGGGGTCGCAAAACCGGTCCCTTTTGCCAAAACCAGTGTTTTCGATATTGTAGTTTACGAAAACTGGAATCCTGATATTTTCGATATTTAGAGAATTTTTGGTCGAGATTCGACATTAGAGGTAAGGTTTTATTAATGAAATAAAAACATTCAGAAAAAATTAACACATTTTGATTTTTAATAAACTTTTAACAATAACACAAATGTTTACCTTCTGACTTTAATCAAACAAAGAAAAATAATATTCTTAACTTTTTAATTTAAATAGTTTTAAACAGTTTTATTAATAAAATATTAAAATATATATTTTTTTTTATTCTTTGATCAAATTTAAATAATCAGTTCGTAAAAATTACAACATGTCTAATGTTTGGTCGCTAAACTTTGACCGCAAATGGTTACAAGAGTAACCTGAGGACGAGAACACTGGTCGGAGGAATAGACCTTAGGTGATCATACGCAATTTCTAGATATTTTCCTCTTGAACCACCATTCTTAAATAAAGCCATTTCTATTTTTACCAATGTATCAATGTCTGCATCAGTTGGTCTGGAAGTATTATCCTGAGCCTAAAGTTTCTTTTGTATTTCAATTTCTAATTGTTTCTTAGGAGGCAGTGTATCTTCAAGTTCGTCACGCTCCGATCCAAGATGGTCAATTTCATTGTTCATTGATATTACCAACGAGGAATCCGCTGTCTGACCAAGCTTTTGAATATCCACGATATGTTTTTGCATCTGGTTGCAATATGGCATTTAGAAATACATCCACGTAGTCAGTGGAATGTGCAGGCTTTAAATGAGTGGGAAGGCCTGAAGTTGTATCTCCCAATGTTTTAAGCATCTTGTTACATCTAATGCATTAAGCTGAGAGATTGTCCGTAGCTTTCAAGAAATAATACCAAACTGATGTCTTTGTTTCCGATAGTTTCATATGGTTTTCATATTTAGGTTTATTTTTTTTAGGGCCCCCCTTTCTTTCTACCAACCTGAAGGGAAAATAAATCATTAACAAAAATTAATTTATTAAATCGAATTAGTTTGACGTGAACAACTTTTTTAAAAAAATGTTTAATATTTCATGTAAATGTTTGGTTAAGTAAGGTACAAACAAACTGGGACATTCAGTCATGTAAACTTTTGGTTAGGTACAGTACAGACAAACTGGGACATTCAGTCATGTAAATGTGTGGCTAGGTACGGTACATACAAACTGGGTCATTCAGTCACATAAACATTTGGCTAGGTACTGAAACATTCAGCCTGGGACAAAACAGCTCGAAAATCAATAATGAGACGAATGTAAATTATTAATATTTTTTATGAAAAAAATAGAAGTAACATAATTTTTCTGTGTCTTAAACTTAAGGTATTTAATTATCAAAATACGGATTTACTCATATTTTTAAATAAGTAGGTTTTTTGGCATAATTAAAAGAAATCAAGCAATCAAACATTTCTGTTATAAAAAGATGACCTTGTGATTTGAATGCAACGTGTTATTATTTCCATATAATTCATGTTACAAACAAACTCTTAACAGTCTTAATGTTAGTCAACATTCGATCTTCATTTGACCATACCAATTACTTATTTGTCAATAATATGAAGATATTTACTTACCAATTCTGTACCTTCACATCACAACTCGTCTGCACTTACATACTACACACACACGATGTAAATAAAAAAAACTAATCACAAAGCCATGATTCTTGACAAATGAACAGTACACAGGTCTAGTCCGTCGGTTGGCTCTCTTTGAACTTGAGACGCTTGGTGGGAGGGGTTCGCACTTCCCACATAACATAAATTATTGCTATGCCTTTTTTTGACTAGGAAATGGTAACTAAGAAAAACGATAAATTTTCTTTGAAAATGAAAATTCCGGGAATTTAAAAAAATCCCGGTTTTCAGAAATCCAATCCCGGTTTTTTTTGGTGTCTGTTATGGTCCGGTATTCCAGTATTTTCGAGATTCGGGATCCTGATTTACAACCCCTACTGAAAACGTGAGGATAAAATAGATTATAAATTATATATTTGGTCACTCTTCCTCAAATTTCTTATTTAGTCTGGTAAGCTCAGATTATTTCTATGCTTTTCTGACTTTGCTTTAATTGTATGGATGTTTAATTATTATAATTAAAAATAAAACAATTCAAAGGAGACAAAGAAATTCAGGGTATATCACTCTTAAATGGAGTTATGTAATGCAAATGTAAATGTTACAGCAAATGAAAATGTTATCGGAAATGAAATATAACCCAAAATGTTCAAGTTACAATATATATATATTTTAAAATTAATATAATTAATCAACTTTTTGCTAATAATTTCATAAACATACTTTATTTCACTACTATAGTACATATATTGTGCTCATTACAATTTAACACAAACCTGATATTCATAGGAAGGCTTGAGCTTATAAAGCAACATTTCCTGGTGGAAAACTTCTAAACTAGAGCCACCTAGTGGTGGCACCAGCCACACCCAATCACCAGGGCATCCACCTCTCAATTTGTGCTCATTTTCCATGTGTTTGATAAATGATTCACTGGCAGCATGATGATCTGTAATGGTCACTCCACTTCTCTAATATGTAATTTTTAAAAAATGTAAAAGGAAAACAAGTTTTAAAATAATAAATACTTTATCAAACGGCATTTAAAGTATAATTTTTGCAAGAATCTTTTATTATGAGGAAACTATTTCAGTATAAAAGTATAAAATAGTGTGATGTAAAATATTGTTTACCTGAAAACTGTGGAGTACTGCAATATTGACCTCAACCATTGCCCTGTCTTTCCACAAGGAAGCACTGTTTCCTGTGTCCAAGTTCATCTTTTGTGCAACAATCTTTAGAAAAAACAGAAGACTATCAAAAGTCAAACACAATCAGATTTAAAAATAAATTTGAAGGACAACACATGGAAGCATTACTAAAATAAGTGAAAAAAAGAATTCAACATCAATAGAAATATTTCAAAGATGCATAGGCAGTAACAACTAGACAGCAACACTAATGAGAACTTGTTTCATTTTGATAAATCATATTTAAAATTAAAAAAGACAACAACTAAAAAGGGAGCAGACAAGTGCACAAAAATCTCTCCCCTGATGCATTTCTAACACACCTCTACTCATATGTAAAGCACAAAAGAGGTTAAGCACAACTCCCATGGAAGAAAATGGCTTTGTACAGGTGAAATTTAAAAATATATTTATGGACATTTTTAGACTATTAGACTTACCTCTGTTATATTGTATCTGTTAGCATCACAAAAGTTCCTAGCACCAATCTCCGTCCCCATGTACCAGCCATTAAATGGACATGCTGGGAACTCAATTCCTCCACAGTCAAACAGCATCCCCGACACGGCTGGTAGAGCATGCCATTTCAGGCCTAATTCAGAAAACCATGGATATCTTTGGAGCATCAAAGGAATAAGGGAGAAAATAAGTAGATGCTATCTAAAAAAAATTTTTTTCCAATATACAAATATAAGTATAAGTAATGAGGAACAAAGCTTCCATATTATTCAATTAAGTTATCCAAACATGAATCAATAGATTCAGTAAAGAAATAATTTGGATCATGATGTTGTTACTCTTGATGCACACACAAAATAAATTCATTGTATGACCTCAACCAGATCAACTTTAAAGAACAGATATAAGCTCATCATCTGATCTCAACCAGATCAAGTTTAAAGAATAGATCTTTCACTTGTTGAATTACACCTACATAGGTAAACAGTGTTGAGATGAGGTGATCAATAAAAATAACAAATCAATCCATCAATAGAAAATGACCTTGGTCCTTGGTTTGTTTTCATTGATCAAAAAAATATCCTCTGATTTACTCTTGTTTACCATTTTACAATTAATATTTAAATTGTTTAATGATTTCACAGTAACTTCAAAGTAACTGAAAATAGAGCATATTGCCTCAGAAACATTTTGATGACACATGACTTAAATTAACTTACTGGGGATGCTCTATTTTGACCTCTAAGACCAGATTAGGAGGGATTTCAAACACTTCAGGGTCTGCTCCAGCAGCAGAAAGAACTAGTGGAAGAATATCAAATTTCCCATACTTGGGTTTCCAGCCAAGCTTAATGCATTGCTAAATTAAAAACAAACAAACAAAGATCTATAAAAATAAAATACAAATGTTTTAAAGGAACCTTTCTTTAAAATAATTTTTAATTTTTCAAGTACATCGTTTGTCCAAAACAATCTTATCAGTAAATTCCCGTTATACTAATATCAGGTGGAGATAAAAATACTTTAGCTTAGAAATCAACATTTAAATAATTTCTCACCTCAGTAATCTTCACATTGGCAGGATCACCAATCACTGTCCCATTGTCCATCTTGTAGCCAGCATACCGTATCAAATGGGAATTCCAAATTCGGAAATCTGGGCGACCTTCTAAGCGTTGAGGAAAAATTGTAATGGATGATCTGTAAAATAAAAACCTGTTCACTGTCATCAGAGAAATATTTAATAATTACATTTATAATTTTGCAGACAGTTGGCTAAGAAATTTAAAGGGGAAAAAGAAGAAAT